AGGTGACTTGCGCTTCCAAATAAAAGTTCTTAAGTAAGTTTGTCTGCTTTCTGAAATAATTTACCAATGTTTTTTTTCTTTATTAGCTATCAATGAACACATTTGCTTTAGTGATGCTAGCAATTAACCTATTTTTGCAATAAAAAATGCTATGCAGTCAAAGGCTTTGGTGGGCAGATTATTCCATTAAACCAGAGATGCTCCGACTGTAAGATTATCCTTTGGGGCAAGAAGTGCATAGAGCATTAAAAAAGTTTGCTCCTGGGAAACAATGGTGGCCTGAAGCAGACTAAATCTTTCTCAATTATTACCAAAGACTAGCTGAGTCAAGTTGTTTCTGGAAAAAATATCTGCACTGAATGTTTAAAGGTGATTTCAAAGGAAACACACAAAGAGTTGCTATAAAAGATCTAAAAGTTTTTCTATGCCTTATTATGACACATCCAGAGACATCTCACACGTATAAACACTAGTACATAAAATTAGAATTAATATCCCTGTGGTGTTAGGACAAATGCTAATTTAATTCTAATCATGACTCAAAAAATTACTTTGCATACTGTACTCACTCAAATTTCAAAATGATTTAAATGGATTTCTTCAGAAAATTAATACATAATTTCCAATTTGTCAGTAATTTTAAATTATATTTTTTAATTTCACGTGCTGTAAAAAGAGTGATTTTGCCATGCCAGAAGAAGTAAGAAATAAAAAATATTTATATTTTAATATGTTGACTACAGGCATCCAGTCTTTGAAAGAAGAGGAGATGATTTGTATACAAATGTTACCATCTCACTTGTGGAAGCTCTTGTTGGATTTGAAATGGATATTGCTCATTTAGATGGACATAAGGTAAGTAGAAGATTACTTTGTCTGAAAACATTTCCTTTTGTATCCATAATACACATGTTGGCATTAAGATATACTACAGATAGTCCTTGACGTACAACAATTTAGTGACCATTCAAAACTACAATGGCATTGAAAAAATGTGAGTTATGACCATTTTTCATAGTTACGACCTTTGCTGCATCTCCATGGTCATGTGATCAAAATTCAGACATTTGGCAACTGGTTCATATTTATGATAGTTGCAGTGTCCTGGAGTCATGTGATCTGCTTTTGTGACCTTCTACAAACAAAGTCAATGAGGAAGCCAAATTCACTTAACAACTATGTTACTAACTTAGCAACTGCAGTGATTCAGTTAACAACTGCGGTGGCAAAGGTCATAAATTGGCCAAAACTCACTTAAGAAATGCCTCACTTAACAACAGAAATGTTTGGCTCAGTTGTCGTATGTCAAGGACTACCTGTATTGACATTATGATTATTTTTGGTAAAATACTTCCCACTTAAACATGTTAATCCTATTGAAAATCTTCAACATGTATGTTTTTTTGTTAGGTCCATATTGCCCGAGATAAAATCACAAAACCTGGAGCCAAGCTGTGGAAGAAAGGAGAAGGTCTTCCAAACTTTGATAACAATAACATCAAAGGCTCCCTTATCATTACATTTGATATTGAATTTCCAAAAGAACAGTTGACTGGAGAACAGCGAGAAAGTATGTATAGTACCAACATAATGATAACTCAGAAAGAACATTGACTTACTAAATTCATTACCTTGGTTGTCAACATATTAATGCTCAGAATGTAGAAATCTAGAGGGTACAATCTGTCCAAATGAGCCAGAAGTAACAGAAAGTGCCAGAACAAGGAGCTCCATACCTGCTCAGCAAAAAAATGAGTCAAGAAACCAACCTACATACTGGTGTTAGTGTTGATTGTCACTTGCTAAACAAAGAGACGATGGGAATAATGCTTTCCTAAAGCAAACTGCAATTTTTTTAAGGAGGCGTAAAATATAAGCTGTCCTCTAAATGTAATTAAACAGGATGCTATGTCTTAGCAGTTAAGATCCTGAGCAGGTCAGCTGGAAGGTTGATAGCCCTTTTCAAGACCTGAGCATGCACAACAGGGTGAGCTCCTGTCAATTCCTGCCAACAATTCCCCAATTCCTGCCAATCTAGCAGTTCAAAAGCATGCAAATGCAAGTAGATAACTGGGTACCACTTCACTGGAAAGGTAACAGCGTTCTGTGCACCCCAGCATATAGTCATGCTGGTCACATCGCCACAGAAGTGTCTTCGGACAATGCTGGCTCCCTCGGCTAAGAAACAGAGATGAGCACCATCCCCTATGGACATGACTGGACAGGGAAAACCTTTAACTTTAACTTTAAATTTAATAGCATTGGGGTATTTAATTATCCTAACATCTTTTGAGGGAAAATCTCTGACATCCCTAACTGACAATTTTCTAATTTTTTAGGAATGGGAAAAAACACTAAAATTAGGGTAATCTGGTAATCATGCTAACCATGTTTTTGATGCTAACCAGTTGGGAAGATTGAATAGAAGCAGAAGGAACATTGTGGGGAAGTAAACCTGATGGCTGTTTTTGTGGTTCTTAGCATAAAGAAACATTTAAAGGTTAAATATAGTTAGATAAAAATGCTGAACATCAATTAAGCAGATTTTAATAAATTCATCAACAACAAATAATACTACGTATCAGAAGCTAATAAGATGAAAACAGTATAAGAAGCTACAGTGGTTACATTAAAAAAATTCATGGCGATCTGAAAACCAGAAATGATACCAATGGAGAGAGAGGGCAATCAAGTACTCTGTGATTTCCAAACTCATTCCAAAACTCTACAGTTTTGGTTTAGAGATGCTAAGAACTATAAAAATAACTTTTGAAACAAAGTAGATTTATTTATTAAATTATACAGCCCCAAAGTAATATATACTTCTAAAAACAGTTCATTGTAGCATATTAAGAGATCTAAGCTAGGATCTCTTTTGGTTCAAATTTTAGAAGAGATACAGTAAATAGCAACCAACAAACCACCCATTATCATAAATTTGAAATTATTCATTATAGAATGAAATGGCTAATCTTAAAAGTAGTTGGGATCTTTTTCAGAAAGGTACCTGGCTTGTTCTCATTCTGCTGTAACTATTTGTCAAAACAATGTGATTGCCTCCTTTTCAAAATAATTGAATATATTCAGGTAGTCCCTGACTTACAACCGTTCATTTAGTGACTGTTTGAAGTTACGACCACACTGAAAAGGGTGACTTATGACCATTTTCACACAGCCGTTGCAGCATCCCCATGGTCATGTGATCAAAATGCAGATGCTTGGCAACTGGTTCATATTTATGACAGTTGCAGTGTCCTAGAGTCATGTGATCAACTTTTGCGACCTTCTGGCAAGCAAAATCAATGGGGAAACCAGATTCACTTAACAACTGTGTTACTAACTTAACCGCAGTGATTCACTTAACAACAATGGCAAGAAAGGTTATAAAATAGGGCAAAACTCAACATAAATTTTCAGTTGTGGTGATCAGTCAAGGACTAATGATAGTATTATTGAAAGTTTCCTCTCTGAACTGTTTTGAGTAATATGCTGATTGAGAATTAAGAATAATGACTGTTTTTCCCTTAATATAGTAGCAGTCTCGAGTGTATTGTTGTATTGTGATTGTGATTTTATTATTTTGCAGGTCTCAAACAACTGCTAAAACAAGCATCTGTTCAGAAGGTGTACAATGGACTGCAGGGCTATTGAGACTGAGACAAATGGACTTTCTTGTGGATAAATGAAATAAGTACTGTAAACTGCAGTCTTTTCTGCTGGTCATTGTAGAACAAATGCAGAGGGTGAAGTAACCTCTGAAATCTTTTTTTTTTACAATAGCAAGGATAATTTTGGGATGGATCAGAAGACAACAAATGAAATTTCTTTATTCTGGATACAACTGGTGCTCTACTTGGAGCAATTAGGCTCCAACAGTTGAGAGAAAGATCGTGTTTTTAACTGAATTAGCACACTGAAGTTCCGTTTTCAAATATATTTTGATGTTACTTTCCTTGCCATTCTTAATGAGTTTTCATAATTTTTTTCATGGTTCCTTTATCTTGTATCACCATGGTTGTGAGATGTTCTATGGCCCATCCTGGACTTACACCTATCCCTATCTTTCTTGTTCAAATCTGAGGCATGAGCAGATAACAACTACCTCTGCAAATTGCTGGCCTCTCTACTGGTTAAACTGCCAGGTGTTTCTTGTTCTTTACAGTTGTAGAAGTGTTAGATTTTGCCACCATCCATAGGGGATCTTTGCAAGTTAACACTTAGAAATGTTAAATTGAGAGAAACTGGTTTAAATGAACTGAGAGCCTTTTTACTAACAGTTTGTCATGGCACTTAGAAGAAATGCGCTATGTTGCTTTTGTTCACTTAAATAGGAGCTGCTGTTTTTTTTTTTAAACAGAGCTCTATATTGATATTTCCTCTAATTTGCAGTTACAACATTTTATGGAACTAGATAAGTAAGAATACTAGTTTATAAATTTGTGAGAACCTTGGGCCCATTCATATTTTAAGTAGCACATATGTTTCCAGAACTGCAAAGTATGGAATCTGAGTGTTTAGAATGTCCCAGATATTTCCAAATTATGCATATTGCACAGTGTATGGTACTCATTCCTATAAATATTGGCATATTTTCAGTACATACAACAAAGACACTGTAACTGCTCAACATGGCTATAGGACCATTGGACAAGATATGGTTAGGAAGGCACATAGTTTCTATTTTTCCCAGTGTCTTGGCTAATAGACACACCTGTAACTGTCTCATGCAGACTTTTGCGAATTTTCATATTTATATATCTACTGAAAAGATGGCTGCAGTTTCTGACCCTGGATCAGCCTCTTAGTCTCAAGAATGACCTAGCAGTAAATAATGTTTATTTCTTTGACTGAAAATGAAATTGTTTTGTTTAATCTGGAAAACCAGCCCACTGATATTTACCAGCAGCATTGTATTATAATGGATGGAACTGATGAAGTCACTATATGAATAGAGAACTAGAAAAAGGCCAGCAGTAAAATAAATAGTCACAAACTGTGCATAGATTGGAATAACTTTATAAAAAACATCCAGCCAATTTTGCCATTCTTTCTTTTTTTTAAAGAACTATAAGTTCTACAAATGAAACAGACAGGTAAAATGCTCTTTTTTTTAAAAAAAATGTAGCTATATTTAAATATATGATTATGCGAGCTCATAACTGAAAGCCCAAGGTCTAAATTCTGGTGAACAGCTAATAAGATCCTTAATTATCTGAGAACTTTTGGGGGATCTTTAAAGCACTTAGAAGTGATGAACAGGAAACAGTTTCACAATTGTTGGCTGCTGCTCAGTGTTATGAGGATAAAATGCATGGAGTTATCTCATGGTTTCTTGGTACACACTGTAGTCCTAAGCATCCAGAAAAAATAATGGAATCCTAATTTCTAGTAAAATTCTGAAGACATTCTATAAAAATCTCTTGAAAGAAGCATTATTTCTAGCGTGTCCCAATTAAATTTAAAACATACAGTTTCTAATTCTGAATGTTCTTAAAGGTCCACAGGCTTATAAGATTTCTCACATCACTGGATTTATCATCATAAATTGTCTTTGGAACTATAGGAATGGAAGGAAGTATAGAAAGAGCCACCCAAAATCAACTGACGTGTATTATATTACAATCAATGTATTTCCTTTGTTAAAACTCTAATGTGATCTGATCAGGGATGCCTAAATTTTTTCATGATGAACATAGAAAGAAACAAAAAAAAATTCAGGCATTCTAGATTTTTATACTGTATTTGCCTGAAGGATAAAGGAATAAAAGAACATGCAAATCCGATTGTTAAATACCTCCCCAAAATGGGGTATTAGTACAGTGCAAATTAAAAAATTGTTGATAGAATATAATAAAATACAACATGGTCACAATAAAAAATCAGCACAATAGGAAAAAACAGGTATATACTGATACAGCATGATAAAAAAAATTCCTGCTTTCCTACACAAAAAAATTGCCTACAAAAGAACGTCTGCTTTTTTCCAGATCAACCAAGTGTTGATGCATTGATCGCCTGAACTCAACATTGTGGCTGAGAAAGAGTGACTTCCCAGATTCACCCAGCTGGCTTTCATATCAGGCAGAACTAGAACTTAGTCTCCTGGTCTCTAACCTGGTGCTCTCAGCATGATAAAATACAATGTCGTATGAAAACTAGCATATTGGGTTGAGTTGAGTTGAAAGTGACTGACTCAAAGTAATGAATGAACTCTGGTTAGGTGGGAACTTGAGCTGAAGTTTCTGTAAAGGAGAAAAGGCAATCATTTGTTGAGATAGATACAAGATGCCTATATTTTTCATTGTGGCGTTCTGTTTCCCCACACACTTATGAGTCCTGCGTGTTTGTCTTCCAATAGGCTGCATTGAGAAACCAAGAAAGCTGATAGTTCATTTGTGTGTCAGTGCTTCTGCTATCTCTTCCCACCTGTGCACAAGAATAGGCACACAGCTAATCCCACTAGAGCAAGAGCACCCATACTGATGCCTATCACCAGCGGAGTGTGTGAAGGTCCTTCATGCTGCCCTGCAAAAGAAAATAGAAAATTTAGGCTTGCTTTTAGGCTGGGTTTGTGGGCAGTGTTATGGATGATGGAGTGGGAGAGGGAGGGAACAACATATCATTTCAAATACTATCTCAATAGGAAATCTTTTGCAGAAAGAAAATGCTAAAAGGAAACGTCTTGTGATGATTTACTGTACAGACATAGATTTTCTTCCCCAAGTTAGAATTGTACCCCGGAAATCAAACAGACAACCACGCATGCAATATTTATTTTGTTCAATAGTTTGCACTATGTGGTGGGATCACAGACCCTGTTTTGCCCATCTTCACATCACGTTATGAAATATTCCATTTTTACCTCCCTTATACTCCCTATTTGGGCTAGAGTCAGGGCAACTGGCTGGAACTGATCATATACTGGCTGAATGCCCTTCCTGATGATCAAGAATTTTATTTTCCTGTTTCATTACGCATTTCTAAAATTATTACTTTCTATTAAGGAAAAGCAAAAACTGCAGAATTTTGCTCTCCAGTGTATGTTTGTTTTTAAATATTTTTGTTTGACATTTTGCAAACATTAAAATCACAATTACAATACAATAGCAGAGTAGAAGGGACCTTGGAGGTCTTCTAGTCCAATCCCCTGCCTAGGCAGGAAACCCTACACCATTTCAGACAAATGGCTATCCAACATCATCTTAAAGACTTCCAGTGTCGGGGCATTCACAACTTCTGGAGGCAAGCTGTTCCACTGATTAATTGTACTAACTGTCAGGAAATTTATCCTCAGTTCTAAGTTGCTTCTCTCCTTGATTAGTTTCCACCCATTGCTTCTTGTTCTACCCTCAGGTGCCTTGGATAATAGTTTGACTCCCTCTTCTTTGTGCAACCCCTGAGATATTGGACTACTGCTATCATGTCCTTCCTTTCATTAAACTAGACATACCCAGTTCCTACAATGTTCTTCATATGTTTTAGTCTCCAGTCCCCTAATTATCTTTGCTGCTCTTCTCTGCACTCTTTCTAGAGTCTCCACATCTTTTCTACATCGTGGCAACCAAATCTGAATGCAGTATTCCAAGTGTGGCCATACCAAGGCATTATAAAGTGGTATTAACACTTCACGTGATCTTGATTCTATCCCTGTTTATGTAGCCTAGAACTGTTGGCTTTTTGGGCAGCTGCTACCTTCACACTTTTACAGCTTTCTCTTATCGGTATTTTTTCTGATTTTGGGTTTTCCATTTTCCATTCCATTATCTTATACATATTCTTTGTTTCATTTTTTTTCTTTCTCATTTTTACAATATATACATCTATATACAATATTTCCATCTCTATTGCTTTCTAAGTATATGCCATCTCTCTTCATTGTGTTTACTATGTGTCCTTATGCATTTATTTGACATCTCTTTTCGAACCAGTTATACTATCTATTCCATATCTTGTAGCACTCTGTTTCCTCTCTATCTCTTAGTTCTCCAGTGTTATTGAGATGACAGCACTACTTTTATTGCATATCTTTTCCTCTGAAAATTAGTGAATAAGAAGAATTGAGTGAGCCAGGATAATTTGTCAGGATATCTCTCTAGCCAAAGGCTTCTCTGCAACTACCAGTATCAATTGTCTCACATACCAGTTATGGCTTCTTTGTTGTTAGTATGCATCCTTAGAAAGTTGACACATGTTTCTTCTAGGAAGAACTGTAGATTGGTAGTTGTCTCTTGGAATTGATTCAGCTTCTGACTAGTATAGTTGGCCACCAAAGTGTTAGCTAAACCTTCCCAGTTATTACTCTTTGTGTGAAATTTCAGGAAATCATTCCCATTCAGCGAAATCTTGTAGAAGCTTCTGGTGCCATTTTCCGACACTTCGCACCCCTTTGTGCAATATAGGGATATGGGATCTGCAATCAAAATGTTCGTTAGAAAAATATGTAGTAAAGATTTATTTGAACATCACACACAAAGTAATAGAGCATAATAGAACAAACAAACAAAGCACTCAATCTGAGGCTTGAAAATATTCTTATACAACATTCATGTTTCCAATTACTTGCTTTATCATAACTTCAGTACAATCTATATATTTTTAATTTTTTTTAAAGGGAAAATTACCAATTTCCCAAAAAACTAAAAGTAAAATAAAATAAGTGAAAGAAATATAAAAAGGGGGGAAAGTTACGAAAGTGGCTTCCAATCTTCTATTTTACTTCCCTTTTAAAGGACTCTTCTTAAAAAGATTTTGTGGTCATCTATTAGATCAGTGTTTCTCAACCTTGGCAACTTGAAGATGTCTGGACTTCAACTCCCAGAATTCCCCAGCCAGCATTCGCGAGCATTCAAGTTGCCAAGGTTGAGAAACACTGTATTAGATAATATAATTCCTTATTTTTGCTGCCAGTGCTATGAATCATGGAGTTGGTTGGAACTTTACAAATTATTTATCGTAGTCCATCCCCTTCCTTACTGTGACATCTATTAGACCATTTCTGACAGATGACCAACTTCTCTTTGGCCTTCAGCAGAGGAGAATTGTGACAACTTGCTCCTCTGGCTGACAGTTCAGAAAAATCAGGATTTCTAGCCTAAACTACTTCCTTGCAGTTTTAACTCACCTGATCTGATCGTGCTTTCTAGAACATTAGATAATACCTCCACTTGTATCTCATAATCCTTCTGTTTTTTAAAGACTATCATATCTTACTCAGATTCTTCTGCATGCCAAACATACTTAAATCCTTTAATCATTCTTTATATGGCTTGGCTTCCAGACTCTTTATCATTTTGGAAATCATATCCTGAACCTGCTTCAATTTGTTATTGCCCTTTTTGACCTTTAGGGCCTCAAAATATTCAAGGAACTTGACCATAGCCCGGATCTTTTTTTATGTGGGCTACTGCCAACCAATATCCTCCATATTATACTTGGGTCTTTCCTTTCTCCTACCCAGATATGGAATATTATGTTCTATTAAATTCCATTCTGTTTATTTCAATGTACTACTCAAGTTGTCTAAATCTTCCATCCCCCACGAAGTATTGGCCATCCCTCTATTGGAAGAAATGTCCTTCTGGGTTCAGCTTCAAGTGGGGAAAAAAGACACTGGAGACATGGAGGCTGCTTGGAAAGATGGCTTAATGGTGGACAGGACCACATGGCTTGAGTCCTGAACAGAAAAGGTGATCACGTGCTTCAATGTTGGGTGAAGAATAAGAAAGAGAAGGAAGGGCTGAAAGTTCCTGGCTTTATACTCTCTATTCAGCCCCACCTTTCTGTTTCCTGTTCCTGTGTAAGAAATGTATTCTGATTGGTTGTCAGACTCCCATGGGGCCATGCAGGGGCAACTCTCTAGGCTGTGTTTTGAATCCAGGTTTGGTTGAGTTCTCAGATGCCATGTGGCGTGTTGGGAAAAACGGCCACTATTACCCTGCCTCATCCATCACCCTGGAGCTGAAGGGGAGAACTCTTTATTTTGTAGAATAGACTGGCTTGGGCATTTTAATCAGCCATTAAGGAAAGTGGGGGCTATTCCTGTGTAAGAAATGTATTCTGATTGGTTGTCAGACTCCCATGGGACCAAGTTTTGAGTTTCCAGATGCCATGTGGTGAGTTTCTGTGGAAGGTTAATATCATCCATCACCCTGGAGCTGAAGGGGAGAACTCTTTATTTTGTAGAATAGACTGGCTTGGGCATTTTAATGAGCCATTAAGGAAAGTGGGGGCTATTAAGAGTGAGTCTGTTTCCTGCCTAAAACATGTTTCTCCATTTCTGATCCAGGGAAATATAATATTCTGCCTTTTCAATATTTCCTAGGAGAGGGCTGGGTGCTAACTTCCTACTCCTCCCTCCTTAATACTGCAAATTTTGTAAGTGTCCTCAACTCTCTTTAATAAAAAGTTAAACAGTATGGGGACATGGACCGAGCTCTTCGACTCTACACTACTGACTTCCCCCAAGCTGACATGCAGCCATAACTAGTGCTCTCCAAAGTTTACCTACCTATAGTATGAGCTAGGCCCTATTTTACCATTTTATGGAGAATATTTGAAGAAACTCTCAGTTTCTTTGATGAGTTCCAAATGCAGCATGGCAGCAGCATTCCCCTCATCTATCATAGTAACTAACAAAAGAAACAGCATTAATCTGTCATGTTTTCTTTGCAACTACCGGTAATCCATATTAGCTCCTGTTAGACACAGCATGGCTATCTAATGAGCACAAACATGTTGCTTATCAATTCCATATCTCTGATGAAATAATCCAATTTATTCTCATTCTTAACAGGAGATAACCCCTTTCAAGTGTTAATTTGAAATTGTGAGCAATTCAGTTTTAGCAGAAAGAAGGGGTACAATAGATGTGGTAACATTACTTGTATGGCTGGAATGTTTCAATTCTTTCATTATTTTTGGTTACTGGGAAGTAAGGCTTTGCTTTTAAAAATTACATTGCATATATTTCCCATCTCAAAATAGTGAAAATGATATCATCATTTTTTTCATCAACCATAGATGTTGGTACTCAGCAATACAATTTTTCTTGGCAAAGAAAAAGAAAGGCAATTTTTCTTGCCTTAACATGAACTCCCAAGTATTGCCACCTTAAAACCTCCTCTATTACTCACAGGATATGATCTTTTCCTTTGAGAGTACAGCAACCATCCCCTGGAAGCTCTGTAGATATTGGTGCAGTTTGCTTTCTGTCTGTTCCCATTGGTTGGATGCCTCTAATGGTGACAGCTGGCTCACATTCAGTTGTTTAGTATTACCCTCCAAGCTATGGGTCATTATTCCATTTAGGATGGCATTGCCTACAAATTTCGCAGAGTTTTCTTTTGAAAAGTTGGCAGTCAATGTCATGATGAAGGTATGAGTTTCTGAGAATAAAAATAATAATAAAAAGGAGATAATCAAGCCAGTGGAAGCAATAATTTAAGTCCCTTCTTCCCAGTCCACTCCTTCTGGCTAAACAAGTGAAGGATGGCAGGAGTTTGCGCAAACCTCCCCTTAAAAAAGGAAAGGAAATCAGCTTGGCTGATCTTTTTATCTCACTCTTTTTTTCTCTCCCTTTGTTCAAAGACATCCTGTAACCTTAACTGAAAAAAGAAGAGGGATTAGTACAGGAAGTATTGCACATTCAGGAAGGGGGGGGGGGGTCCTGCCTAATTTCCCCATTGAAAAGATGTTTTTCTTAGCACCGACTGTGGCACTGGATGATTGCCAGGGAACTATATAATCCAGACTGACAGGCACCATTGTTTATAGTGGCCTCAACATTCTTTCTCTAATGCAAAAAATGTGGCTAAAAGGGAGAATAATCTATCACTTCTGAGATGATCCACTGTCCACCAGTATTAGTTATGGCCGAATCATTTTCCTGATGATCTGTCAAGTTCTCTACTTCACTTTATTTTTAATTTATTTTTACTTGACCAATGTGTGTGGGGGGGATACTTTTTGATGGCTGGAGCTATGCTTAATATTCTGGGGAAACCAAAGTTCCATGGTAAGCAATGTAATGATGCAATTGTGGCAAGATGGCTTTTCTCCTTGATGTGGGGACTGTATTTTTTTTAAATAAAAAAAAACCAATGTGAAGCTGATTTATGCTATGGTTATTGTTTACGCTGTGCCTTAAAATATGCAAGATTGAGAGTGAAGATAAGAAAAAGGCAAGCCATTGGCTCACCATATATCTGGGAGGAGAGAAACTGTTTTTGCAAGGCGTGTTACCAATAATAAAATAGGAGATAGATTCAAGATTGAGTCATTATTCCTAAAAAACTAGAATAAGAGTGCATTCAGAATGCATGGAAGTATGTGGGGTGCATGCCTGTACATGAGAAGGAACTCCATGTTTAAATAGCAGACACTCCCTGAAGTTCTTGAAGCTCCATTACAACTGGATAGCAGTGTTATCTTATGGAATCTTTCCTTATTTTAAAACATGGTTACTCTTTAGAACATGGTAACTATTGCACAATATCCTACCCCTGAGGAATCCTTTTAGTTAATCATTTGCACAAATTTGTCCTGACTACTCCAAGAGAAATAGTCCTAAATTCATTCTATGCAAGAGATTGAAAATTATTACTAATCTGTTCCAATCAACAGTTCTGCATCTATCACCATCAATCTTTGAAGATAATAGGATTTTATCTCTAAATATACCTAAATAGATATGCATTAATTTCCAAATCATAACTGGGAGTTCAAAACAGATTCTTTGTAAATTTCAGAATGTCATTAAAATATTTTTACTGATTTGGATGCATCATGAAACAAATGCACAGATAACGTTTCAATCCAATCACTTTATTTCTGCACACATGTACTTAGAAGTCACTTCCATAGATTTCAGCGGGATTATTCCCCAGCAAATGATATTTAGGATCACACAATTCGTTAAATATTTTCAAAACCCAACATAAATTAAAAAAATATTTATTTTCTACCTAAACAATAGTAGAATTAGCCCCAGGCAAATAATTTTAAGGAGACTATTCTGTAACTTGGTACTATAGATAATCCACCATCAGGTATATGAATTAGATCTGTGAAAATAAGCAGTATGACTAAAAAAGAGAAAGATCCGTGGATAAGCATGTTAAGCCAAAATCACAATGTTAAAGACTAAAAATTTATTCCTCTACTTTTCACAACTCACATTCATAGAGTGTTTTGCCAGCTTTATATTCACCCTTCTTACTCAGAAATCTAATCAAATCACACAGTATACTCACTATTTCCAGTTTTAAATCAAGCCAACATGATTTTCCAAACTTACCTTCACCGTATGCCCAGTGATAGAGAGCCCAAGACTGGAGAAGAATTTGCAGGAGAAACATTCCCAGTCAGGAGTCACTTATTTGCAAAGCCAAGAACACTTCAGTGTTGTAAGTGAAGTAAGGTCTCTGGAAAGGAAATCTCCAAGTCTTTTATATGTCACGCCAAGCACCACCAGAAATCAGGGAGTTTCATTTGCCAGGACTGGGTTGGAAGACAGAGGGTACGGCTGGCTGTGAAAAGGCGGGTGGAGCATGTTTTCATCTTCCTATTTCCTCACATCCAGCAAAGGAACTTTTTTCCTTGCCAGATCCGCCTCCTTCTGTTTCTCCCACAGCTGTGCAGGCTGTAGCTGGAAAATGGCTTTAAAATGCCAAGCATGACACTGTTTTTGCCAAGTATAGCATTGGGAATAGAGACAGAGAGACAAGGCAAACAAAACATGAGAAAAAGATCCAATCAAAATATCAGCAAAATTAATATTCACAAAGGACAGAAAGAGTGCATCTGCAGACAGTACAATCTGGGTCATAGTGCCATTTGAGATTTCTAGTTTTGAGATTAGATATGTAAAGATATTTTATTGCACACTACCCCAAAAGAGATATTCCAAGACTGCAGCCTTGATGAGAAATATACTGTAGAATGTCCTGGGTCCAATATCTAACAGAGACAAATACAACCCAAGCAACATTCATTTCTGCCTTTATATGCTGTATATACATCGTATGTTCATAGTTTACCTTGTCACATGGGCTGAGACTGCTATTGTATGCCTATTCTGCAAACACAGCCAGTATGAAACACAGATAGTCTTTGAATTATGACCACAACTGTTACCAAGTGAGACAATTGTTAAATGAATTCTGCCCCATTTTATGACCTTTCTTGTCACAGTTCTTAAGTGAATAATTGCAGTTAAGTTAGTAACATGGTTGTTAAGTGAATCTGGCTTTTCCATTGACTTTGCTTGCCAGAAGATCGCAAAAGGTGACCTGGGGACACCGCAACCGTCATAGGTCAGTTGCCAAGCATCTGAATTTTAAAGCATTTGAATCTTGATCATACCACAATGGTCATAAGTGTGAAAAATAGCCAAAAATCACTTTTTTTCAGTGCCTTTGTAATTTTGAATGGTTAATAAATGAACTGTTGTAAATTGAGGACAACCTGTAGTGCTTAGGGTACTGGATCAGAGTGAAGGAGGCCATGTTTAAAAACCATTAAGCCATAAACTACATGACAACAAACCCCAGTAAGAGTTATCATGAAATGGGAATTTAGCCAAAAAGACACTATATGACTTGGTTTTGTAAGTGGGTATGGTGAAAATCATGACTGCCCCTAGGTCACCCTATAAGCTTTCATGGCTAAGTGGGGTCTAAAACAATGGGAGCCCCCTAATCAAATCTAATATTCTAAGCATTGTCTTATTCTGGTTCTCTTTATATGATTTTTGTTTGTTTGTTTTAATCCCCTTTTATTATTTTTTAAATAAATAATCATTTAAAAAAAAATATCTAATACTCCTTTTTGTTTACCTCACAACAACTCTGTGAGGTGAGTTGGGCTGAGAGAAAGTGACTGGCCTAAAGTCACCTAGCTGGTGGTATATATAATATTAATAAGAATAGCAGACTTATGGAATGCATAGTTGCCTCTGGCAATATATATTTAAGTGCAGAACAGAATTATTACTACATCATCAAGAATTACAACATCAGAAATTACTAAATGCACTGAAATGCTATAGCTCTTACATATGGGACTATTTGTTAAGCAGCAGAGGTGCTTCATCATGCCCTTTCTCTCATTTCTTTGCAGAAAACTGAACTTAAACTTAAAATTCCTACTGGTAGAAACATACTGTGGGAAAATGGAATGAAACATTGTATCAAACCCCCAAACCATAACATTGTCATTATGGGCAGAAGGAAAAAGATCATGTTACATTTCACAAAAGTTAGACATGCTTTGAATTGTAAGTTGCTTCGGTCTATGGACAACACTGCAAACAATCCCATATTTATAACATACATCCTACTTCTGAGTGGCTAGGAGTTTCAACAATTCTTTGCAGTATTTATCCAGTGTTCAGTTTCAACAGAAAAAAAAAAGAAATAGCATATTTCTGAGAGAGAGAAAGAAGCTGAGAACTCAGAACATAATCCTGCTCCCATCCAAATTCCTAGGAGAATGGTCCTGCAAAGAACAGTATTGAATCTGAGCCTGCTCTTCAAGCCCAAATTAGTGGGCTTTAGTTTTATACAATTTCCAAAAATGGAGACTATAAAACTAAAAAAAAAAAAAAAAAAAATCATACATGAAACAAAAACATTGCATTCCAAAAGTTCTATTGAACTATTCTGAATGGGTCACATAAAATCTGGAATGTTTTTGTTGTATATGATTTCAGCCAAAATCAAAACCCTCAGAAATAATTTTACATGGAAAAAAGACAAGGCCTCTGGATTTCTGCCCTTCTTTTCTCTGCCGCTTTCAGTGAAGTCCTTCCACCAGCCCTCCCATCCAGCTGACCTTCCTAGCACTAATCCTCGCAAACCTCAATCAGGCTGCTGCCAAGATCCCAATCGGAAACTTGCAGTTCAAAGTACGAACTGTTATATATATATCTCTATTCCAGACTGATTTCTTACTTATTTGTATCATCATTCTAACTATTTTCTGTACACTGCAGGATAAAGATCTCTTCCTCCTGTTTCCAACCAATACAGTCCTGAACTTTCTTTTGACAATTGGACCCAAAATAGTTGCTGATGTCATCGATCCATCTTAATATAGGTCTTTTTTGTGGATACTTTTTATCAAGTGAAATCCATTCTATGACTGCCTTAGTCCAGCTGCCATCAGTTCTTCTTGCTATGTGACCGTCCTATTCCCATTTTATTTCTTTTTACTCTCTTGATATCATACACTTTCGTTTGTTCTCTAATCCATGTGCAAGTATTTCTATCTTGTCTTATAATGCCAAGCATGTATAATTGCTATGCACATATGAAATGCACATCTCCACAATGTTAACTTTTGACTGTCTTCTCTTGGTGCCTGCATTCACATTATTTTAGCCTAACATTTTGTATAAACCTACTGTAAATCCAGTCACAAATCTCACTTATATCCTTAATAGTTAAGTTAACCAAGGGCATATTCTCTGAGTGTAGCCTGAAAATGACATTATCTTAAAACATGCATGTTGATATCTTAAGAGTCAAATTTATAGATTGGGATTGGATTTAATGGAATCTACCTTGACCATTCACAAGGTCATTATGTTTTTGATAACTGAGATTATTGAGTAAATATAGGTCAGATAGGAGAGTCCCAGAGAACAATGAAATGACAAAAATGCTGACAACAGCCATCATGATGTCTGTTCACTATATAGTCAAGATGTCTAAGAAAGATTATATAATTATCTGAGCATAACAACATTTTATTCTCTTTTTAAAAAAACTCTCTTGTACTCTAATCCACTTTTTTATCCTTAATGAAGTTTCTGGTTGCTACTCTGAAAATGACCAAACGAAGAAAGCAGATAAACTGGAACCAGACAAGTAAATATGAGTCAAGGACTATGTAAACAGCAACAACTGAGGAAACAAAAGGCAGCAGAATCAAATGTCAGTGGTAGTAACACAGTCAACAATCTTCTTGACCTTCCACTCATAGATGGATATCACATGAGTAGTCATTTTCCATGTTAGCCTCTTTTGACCTATCCATCTAAATATTTTTTCACTCCTTTTTACAACAGCATGACCTTTCTCAATTCCTCCTTTTATACAATTATTACACATGAAAAAGACTTTTACCATCAACACTCAGAAGAGGAGCCACAAAGATACCAACTGGCCTGCCAGCTTCTTATAAGATGAAGCCTTTGGTATAAAGTCTGAATCATCCGCTTCCTGGTTGTAAAAGGGTCAACTGTCCCTGAGGTTGCTCACTCAGTAGCAGCAGCAACATTTGGAGAGGGGAATTGCAAAAAAACAGGCAAGATAGTGGATAAAAATCCCATCCATTGTTTATATACATTGGCATCATTTGCATGTACAAAGAAAAGGAGACTAAACAATCCTGCTTCAGTCAATAACTTACCTATTTTTATTGCCCTAGCCTGTTTTTGCTTTATGTGCAAATATTTGGAAAGAGATAGGACTCTAATAAGGAAGGAACTGCCACATATTACTGATCTTATTTTATTATGGTGTGCTGTTACAGAACAATTGGGGGGGGGAGAACAGGTCACAGATTTTGAGGTAATAATTTGCAGGGAAACATATGATGAGCAACTGCAATCTAGCTGTTACAAGGAGTGGAGGGAAGACCAGTGCCTGATCTCCCTTCCTTTCAGACTACAATCTTATTAATGACATGACAGTGACAGAGATGGAAGACCCTTTAGTCAAGGGGTGTCAAACTCAATTTCCTTGAGGGCCAGATCAGGCCTGTGGTTGACCTCAGGGGGCCAGGTGGGTGTGCCTGATTGGGTGGGCATGGTCAGCTGTACATCACTCACTGGGCATGGCCAGCTGGGTGGGCATGACCAGCTTGATATCACACCCCAAACTGCTGGCATGTTTCCTCTTGCATTGAGTAGACTGGGCTGAAGCCATGCTGGGCCGATGTTTCCTCTTTGTAATGGGTATTCCGGGTCAAAGCCACGCTGGCCCAGTGTTTTCTCTTCACATTTGGTAGACCGGGCTGAAATGACCGGGGTAGACTGGGCCAAAGCAATGCAGGCCAGCCTTTTACATTTTCCAGGATGGCCCCGCAGGCTGGATCCAACCACATCACGGCTAGATCTGGTCCACGGGCCTTGAGTTTGACACCCTTGCTTTAGTCTGAAGATCCAACTTTTTAATGCTAAGTCAGTTTCTGACAAAACATCTATCCAGGATTTAATCCTGAACAAAACACTGATTTGGCATTTATTAGAAATACCTGGATAAGAGTAGAGGGAGAATATTTCTCCCAGTTCTGTGGATGAATTATTGTATAAAGCAGTAAGCTAACTTGGAAGGTGGTGAGATATGTGGCTGTAATATAAGGGAGGCATGGAATAAGGGAGTAAGAAGGCTGCCATGATGTTTTTATGCTTATCCTGATAGTTAGCAGATGTGAGTTGTTATGACAAAAGTAAATTGGCATGATCAAGGATGCAGTTGTGGTGAAGGATGTGAAAGATGTTAAAGCAAGAAGGTCATAATTTAGGGAAGAAGGTTAAAAAAAACCAAGGAGCTATCATGAAGGGAGTTTGAGGAATATACTTAAATTGTCAGGGATTTTTAGAAGTCTGATACCAGC